TCACCCTCTTCCTACCCCCCCCCCCCCCCGAGCTCCTAGATCTGACCTACATTCCCCCCCCCCACGGTGCCTGCATACCTTAGTGTTTTGTTAGGGAAACTGCTTCATCCCCGGGGACCGGGAGGCCAGTTCCACTACTCTGAATCTTACTGGAGTGCTGGTTTTTTTTTCATGAATCTCTCCCCACCGCCCGGGCCCACCCCCACAAATCCTCCCTAGAGAAATGTGCCAAATGCTCGTTCCTCATCTTTTTACTAGAAGCAGCAAAACTGCAACCAACGCCGCAGCACATCAGGTGAAGCTCTTTCAATTATCCCCACCTCTGCTTTCTCCCCTGAATCTTCTATGGCAAGCACACTGCCTGGTACAAGTCAAGTAAAAGAAGTCTCTACCAGGTTCGTGTGTTTTAAATGATTTTTAGAATACTTCTGTCCTGCTTTTCCTCCAAGGAGCTGAAGGCCCAAGAATCCTGGGACGTAATTTAAGCTAAGATATAATACAGTAGGAATTTCCTATCAATGGGATCAGTATCCACCAATTCACTTTATCCACTCGCTGAAAATACTAAATAAAAAAAAAAAACCAGAAATACCTATTTATATCGATTTCCAAGGTGTATTTAACAGAATGGGACACAAGAAGAAGCCAGAGTCCATGCAAGGTATAGCATTCAACCCTTCCACATTTTTCAGCATCTGGGGGAGGGGGGAAGAGGGGGAGCACTTCCCAGAGTCCATGCAATGTATAGCATTCAATCCTTCCACATTTTTCAGCATCTGAGGGAGGGGGGAAGAGGGGGAGCACTTTGAAACTTATCCACTACGGATACCAAGATGCCTACTGCAGCTGTGTGCCATCAAGTCAATCCTGACTTAGAGCCACCCTTCCCAGGATTTTCTAGGTAGAGAACACGCAGAAGTAGTTGACCATTCCCTTCTTCTTGCGGTGCCCTCGGACTGTGCAGTTTGTCCAAGGCCACACAGGCTGGCTCGTCTATCAAGGGAATCGAACTCCCAACCTCTGGCTCCAGAGCCAGAGACCTAAATCTCTGAGCTATCCAGCCAGCTAGGATGAAATTTCATAGCTGTGCAGGGATCTGAACCCATAGCTTCCCATCAGATGTTCTAGCCTAATGGGGCCGGCTTCAGGACTTAGGGCTAAATCTCACCCACCTAACCCTCTGGGCTTCCCCAGATGGCTCTAGTTAATTCTGCATAACCTCATTATTTGGTGGTTTGTCGTTCTAACTCCCTCCCCATCCTAAATAGTTGAAATGCTTAAGGGCTTCATTACTGGTGGTAAGACCTTGAAGCTAAAACATGTTATTTTTGCTCCCTCACAGCTTACCCACCCCTGGATAAATGCTCGGTTGAAATAAAAATCAGTCCCTCAAGGTCGATTGAAGAAACAAACAGACAACACCCCCCTCTTCTTACTCTAACCTCTACACCACAGCATATGTCCCATGTGGTATTGGCCTTCCAGGATCACAAGTTTTGGTGGCTTCAGCCACTGGGCCAAGATTAACCCCAAGCCACAGAGGCTCAGTGGCTTCCTTCATGTATTTTAAACTCACCTCTGTTTGTTATCCCAGTGCAGAATTAAACGGACCGTGGCGGCATGACCCCAGCTTTCTCCTAGAGGCATACAAAACACACAGAAGTGATTTTAGTTTCTCGTCTTAGTGCTTTAGCATCAACAGAGGATGCTGCATAAAGAGGGCCTCTTTTTTCTCTAATACTCAGGGCCTACCCAGATGTTTAACACAATACAGCTTCCTCTCTTAGAAACGGAAGACCTGGCTCTTCAGGCAGGCCTTCCCTCCTGCCACTGCTTAATTTTTCCTCTGGTTTTTGGCTCGTTTTAGTTTTTTTATTGATTATTTTAATTTTATTGCCTTTTTTTTGGACTGCCCAGAATAGATTTGTCTAGATGGGTGGCATAAAAGCCAAATAAATAAATAGAACAGCCATATTCAGTCATTTCAGATTAAGGACTTAATTTTTAGTTCAGGCATCTGTTTGGGGACTCTACTTATTTTCAAACATGTTTATTTTCAAATGGTAATCCCAGAAAAGAATAAGGGCTAAGTCATCTCTCATTTGTTGTACTTTGTGCACATCACAAGACAACACCCACGCTCACTGGAAAACGATGCTGGGGGAAGTTGAAAGCAGTAGGAGAAGAGGAGGCCAAATAAGAGATGGACTGACTCAATTAGGGAAGCCCCAAGGCTTGAGTTTGCAAGATCTGAGCAGCTGAGGACAAGACTTTGTAGAGGTCACTGATTCATAAGGTCACCATATGTCAAAAGTGGCTTGATGGTACATTACAATACTAACAACCACAATTGTCTCACCCTTCAAGCCACTGACTAACGACTGACATTACAGGGAGACTAAAAGCTGGGCTTAGTTTCTGACATGCAAACAGAAAAATTAAGATTTTTTTTCTGGACTGCTTTATACCTCCATGAACGTTCCATCTGTACGTCTCTAAGTAAATCCAGGTATTACACGATGCTGCTAAGTTTCACGGTGCTTCGAAAGGAAACAAAGCCTGAGTAAGTACTATATCCTACCGCCTGAAAAAGTAGGACATGTGTAATAAATACATTTAAGCTGCCTTCTCTGTGGGCAGGGGGCTAGAGCCCTTCTTGTATTGTTCTAAACCGAAGCAAGGGATGCCCATAGATAACATATGTAGGTTTTAAAAAGAAAACAACACAAAGAAGTAAAAAGGGGAGGCAAGGGAGTTAATAAAGGGGTAATGCAAAGATCTCCCAAAGACCTCTGCTCTGTTTAACATTTGAGAACCCGGTGAGGCTTTTGAAGGGAAGTAATCTCATTATTTTAGCTCACGTCTGACAGCGTCATTTGACTTCCAGACAGATTTATTGAGAAAACGTCTTGGCCCATTCTAGCCACTGCTCTGCATTCAGAAGCTGGACCAGGTGTTGTTGTTTTTAAGCAGTTATTTCAGGGGGGAAATGCTGTGAGCAGCTCCCCCTTTGTCTCCAGACAGCTCCAGAAGCACAAATTACTGCATCCGTTGGGGCTCCTAGTCGCTCCGCCCGCTCATGTCTTCATTAACCAGAAGCCAGCGAAAAGAGCAGCCCTATTCTTGCAATAGAAGAATCCTCCAAAGTCAATGTCTAGACCCCGGGGGCCCCTTTGCCAGTTCTCATCACGGCGGCAAGCGTGAGATTTAACATTTGGAAGTTGAGATTAGAGTATGAATTATACAAATGAAAGCCATTTCCATTTCAAAACCATATTTCCCTGCATGTGGGGAGGAAAACGGGTTTTGTGCTCCACAGCAAAAAGCCTTGTTTCTAAATTAAACCGGCAGGAGATTAATATCTGACCTCATTCCTAAGTGTACCAAGGAAAAGCCATCTCTGGGATCAGCCCGGCGGTGCAAGACACCCACTCAGCGAAGCCCTTAACTTAATTCTTCTGGGGCCTAACAGCCTCTGCTACCCCCCCTTTCTGCAACCGTGGGGGCTTTCAAGAAACAAAACAGAAGGAGAAAAGAGAAGGAAGTTTTCTGAAACGTTGGGCAATCTCTGAAGCAGATTCCTTAAAGGCCCACTCCAAATGATGAAATCAAACAACAGGGAACAGCTCTAATTAAAAGAAACTTGAGGGGCCAAAGGTTACATTTTTCAAACCAGGAAACAATTTTTGCTAATGGCTTCACTGCAAAGGCGGGAAAAGTTATTTTCCTGGATGTCGACGACAAGACGTCTTGTGGCACCTTAAAGATCAGCCACTTTAATTCGGCACCGTCGTCGGTGGCTTCTCCGGAAATGAACTTATCGCCCTTTAGGACTACAGATCCCATATCTCAAGGTGGCTGAGGGATTTTGGTAACTGTAGTCTGAAAAAAGAGCAATGCTTCCAAGCTCTGGTGCTGCCACTACACTGAGTTGCCCAATTAAAAGCAACCCTGGGTAAGAAGAGGAATGGCAGGAGGTGGAGAACAGAGACTTGATGAGAGGAGTGAGTATCTCTTTCCTAAAGCCATGCCTCGGAAACACATTAAAAACAACCTGCCCTCTGAAAACTCCACGGAAGCTTTTGTGCCATTCTCAGTTTTTTGGTATGGCGCACCTGTTCCCATCAAACCTAGATTAGTTCTCCTCTTCTTAGACCAGGCCAGGGTCCAAGTGCATTCCCGAAAACTCTGCATGGGACAGAGCTAGGCTAACTCCCCAAGTCACAGCTTCTAGGACTCAAGACCATCCCGGCTCTTAACTTGGTCTCGGACGGGGAGAGAGGCTTCAACAGTGTGCGATAAGTGCACTGATGGACTGGTTGATTACGTTAGCTTGCCACCTTTCTGCCCAGAAGGGCTTCCAAAGTCATTTACAATACAGGAACTGATTAACATGTAATGAATTAGATTTGATCTCAGATTAACCCACGGAACCAAACTTTCCCTTAAAAGGCAGCTCTCAAATTTTTGTCCTCAAAGTTTCCGAGACCAGAGGAGCTCTGGAGCAAGAGTGCCGACTGCCGGTGAGAAGCTCCACAGAGAGGGACCAACCTACGGTCATTTGGGAGGGTCGGCCACAGCCAAGGGGCCAGGACAGGAAAGCCCCTGCGTCTAGTAGGTACCAACCTACCTTTGCAGAGGGGTTAGACATGCCGCATGACCTCTGTAGAGGATCTCAAACTCCAAGCAGGCAGGGCATCTTTCCGATCTCCTAAGCCCAACCCCTTTGGGCATTATAGTTCACAACCAGCTCCTTTTAACTGAACTCAGAAGCACATAAAACTGCTGGAGAGTTCAGTTGTTTAGGCCTCTGACTGCAGAGCCAGAAGTTGGGAGTTCGATTCCCCCACTGGGCCTCTCTGACAGGGTCTGGACTCAATTATCCAGAGGTTCTCTTTCAGCTCCGCCATCATCTAAGATGATGACAATCTGAACCCAGTGTAGTTGGTTCATGATCAGAATTACGTGGTCACTAAAATGCAGGCATTGAAGAAACTTTCTCAGCATAAATTTAGTGCATTTTTCTCACATCCCTGTTGGACTCCCCTCGAGACTCTTTACAAACAGGACTCACTTTTTTGGGGGGGGGGGGATATGGGAACCAAGGTGCTGGAGGGTTGCTCCTTATTTTAAATGAAAACAAGGGCTTCGGGGGGGATTTTAGAAGTAGCCATTTTCCTTTCCTAGCCGGAAAAAGGATGTTTTTTTTTGGGGGGGGGGTTGTTCAAAGGAGTGGTCTGGAGGCACACAAATAGGCAGGGGGTGCATATGACTTGGACATACAGGGAGAAAGACAGCAGGCAAGGGGATTTTTCTCACTCAAGTCTGTTTCCACCTCCCTCCAGGCTGGTTCCGGGAACACAAAGAAAAGAGGGGCCAGAGGGGGCTCCACAGGGAACTGGAACCGGCCAGTGGACCCCGCCAGTTGCTGGCCCTTCAATCTATTAGCTCTAATTTGCTTTGTGGGCTGATCGTCTGCCAAAAAGCATGTACACAGCGGAGGGAGGGGAGGCACAGAAGAGAAAAAGGTCAGCGTTTGAAAGCCAGGTCCTTATCTGTATGCCCATTTCAAATCCCAACATCCTCCAAGGACATGCTTTTTATTTTGTTCAATTTATCTTACATCTCTGCCAGGCGGTTGAACTGCTGAACACACGCATTAGGGAGGCTGTCACTTTTGTATGGCTACCCCCTCAACCCCAATAACCAAGGGAATCGTTATGTGACTCACAGAGACTGAAGAAACGCGTTGCTTCTAATTGGAAGGCGCTTTTTTTTTTACTAAAAAACCCCTCCACTACTCAGCTGTCAATACAAAGCTGCTTTAAGTCATCTTCTTTACTCTTTGCAGAAATGGATTTGGATCAGTCCTCAACAAGACTCTGGGGAATCCCTCTTACAATCATGAAGGGAATCCAGCATCCATTAGTGAGGGCAGCGGCAGCTAAAAATTCCATGCCACGCTAAATATGGCACATTTATTTTCAGTGAATATGCCACATTTCTGAGAACTTGGGAAGTTGTGAAGACCAGCCAGTAGATTTTTAAGAGGAGGGCAAGCAACATACGGACTTGTGGATGGCATATAGCCAGTTTTTGAGCCTCTCCCCTGTTCGTGAAGGTATCCAGGGGCTCTGTGTTTTAATACTGATCTTGGTTACCATTTTAATATAACACTTAATTCTTTTTTTAATGTTTGTATACTTCATTTCACTAATATAAAAACCAAATGATTGTACCTGTTCAAATATCTTTTTTAAAGGGCTCTACGGTAGATCCTGTGGCAGGATTTCATTCTACAGGTAACCAGGGCGAGCTTTTCTCATTAGGCTTGCTAAAATTCTGGTTTGCACTCAGTTTGTGCCTTGGGACTAGCTTATACAAATAACCTAACTCCAAGTTTCAAGTCGAGCCGACTCATCTCAACCAGCAAGACATCAAGGGAAGATTGTAAAGGTATAAATCTGTGACTTTCCCAAGTCTATAGGGTGGTGAATGCATTAGCGATGGTCTGTTCCAGGTGTGACAGTCAGAGTTGGACTATAGAGCTTCCAGGCCTTTCAGCTGGTGCCTCCCTTTATGGTCTCAGATTTTATTTATTTATTCATTACAATTTATATTCCGCCCCTCTAGTGCCCAACTCTAGAGCACAACCGCAACCAGAGAAGGTCTATTCCCACCCATTTAGTGGATGGAATCCACCACCACCACAACGGCCTAAATCCTGTTGCTAGTAGTCAACAGAATAGGCCCATTGGGATCAATGGCACTTATGGAGGAGCTAACTTACTAAATCTCCACTGGTTAAAAGGGCCTGTTCTACTAGTGTGATTTAATTACTACCATTTGTGACTCGGCAGGATGCTGGATAGTTTAGGTCTCTGGCTGTGGAGGCAGAGGTTGGACTCCTCGCTGTGCCTCCTAGACAGGGGCTGGACTCCATGATCCACAGGGTCTGTTCCAGCTCTGCAGTTCTACTATGATGATGATGATTTGGGTTACTGTTTTCATTCCACCAGTCCCTGCCTTCCTGTCTCACCAGGGGCTGCCTAAGTCCCGATTGATGATCTGGGCGTCTTCTCTGTTCTGGTTTTGATTGAAGAGCAGAGTCTATATTCTACAAGCAAACCAACTCCTAATTTAAATACTTACCTAAGGCAGGCACCAAAGCGGAATGGCTTTGTTCAAATCTTGTTGTCATCTGATTAGTCAACACCACCTGGGGGGAAAAAAGCAGGTGAGGGGGTTCCACACAGGAATGAAGTGAGACATTGACCCCCCCCCAAACATAACACCTGCAGCCATAAGACAAAATAAGAGCACTTCCTTGGAACACTGCCTTCCAGGCTGGTCTGACAAAAGCATCCAACTGTGAATGCAATAAAGGTCTAGAGCAGGGGTTCCCCACCTTGGGTCACCCCGGTGTTTTTGGACTGCAACTCCCAGAAGCCCCGGCCAACACTGCTGGTGGTGAATTGTTTCTAGGAATTCTGGGAACCACTGGTCTAAAACAACCAGGGTGAGGAGCGCACGTCCTCTCCGATCCTCTCCTTTCTGTGCCAAAACGAGAGGCCATTTAAAAAGCAGCAAGAAGGAACGAAAGCCTTGCTCTGGGGTCATGAGAGTCCTCTGTTGGACAAAGGAGCACCACTGTCACCGTAGCGCTCATTAAAAAGTGCCTTGTTTTGGCATAAACAGAAGAAGAGGCATTTTTCACCTGGCCCCCAAATCTCTGCTCACTGCTCAGGTAAGAGAAAGATTCTGACTTCTTTCCTAAATTAAAATCTGCCATCACTTTTGCCACAGAATACCACTGTGACCCCCCCCCATCGTGGACCTGGGGGACCTGTGGCCATCCAGATTATATGGGACTACCCCACCTACCCACCCTGATCCCTAGCCAAGCTGGACGGAGTTGAGAGGAGGTGGGTGTCTACAACCCACCAGGGAGGGGCTGTAAGACAGCTATAACAAACTGACAAAAATATTAGCAAAACTGAAATGAGTGGAGAAACACTCCACCTTCTGAGCATTCGTCTGTTTACAATTCCAGATACTGTATATTGGACTATAATGCCCATCATCCACAGCCAACAACCGAGTGGCCATGCTGACTAGGGCAAACATGTAAAGCTTTGCACTCGTCCGGCAAAGGGTGCAGGAAACGAGTCAGGTAAGATTTGGACGAATTACTTTTTGGACTACAGACTATACGGAGAATTCCTCTGGACGGCATGGTCACTAGCCAATCTCACTGGAGAAATTCTGTAGGACAAAAACATAACTTGCTTTCATCTCTGAGAGGCAGTAAAGCAGTGCGTGTACACAGAGAGCGTGATACCAAGAGGCTCTGGTATAGTGACACATCGGTTCTATTTCTGCTTCAGAGGAAGATTAAAATACCAAATTGTTTTTTAGCTCTGTCGAGAAAAGGTAGTACCAGGTATGACGGGCTGTGGAGGAGTCTTTTACACGGAAGCTCCACAGGACCTCAGAGAGATGTTTTAAGACATCTCCCCAGATTACATAAAGCAATGGCAGACTTTCAGGCTTTTGGGATCTGTTTGGACTCCTGAGATCCCCCCAAAAGGAGAAGAAACTCCAGAAACGGTGGTCAAAGTGCGGGACTCGCTCCCCTACTGGATCCCATAAGCTACAGACAACAATGACCTGCATAAATCTATGTTTTTAACCAACTACAGATGAAGAATTTTTACAGGAAGTTCTAACACTGAACAGCAGAGCTTCAAAAAGGCACCTGCACTCCACCAATACTGTTTCCAGATTCTATTGTCTCTCTTTCCCTCATTCCACAACATCCGTGTGGATTTGCTTAAACCGTGAAAAGCAATCAGCTAATGTACATATTTCAAAAGGTCAAGAACAATGAAGCTGAGTGATGAAGCGTGTAATACAAAGCCAGTCATGTCACGGAGGGCTTTCTTTTTTTCTGGCTTTCAGTTTTAGCAAACAACTCTGCACTCTTAAGTCAACGGAAGTTCCATTTTACAGCTAGGATGTGAAGAAAAGTGCTACAGTGTAAGCTTTTCCACATCTTTCATCATGCTAAATCTCAGTGGCTGGAACAAGATCACAGGCATACTGAAGGATGTGCTTCTTGACAGAGTATAGACATTCACTGTGGAATCTGCTACTGCAAGACGAAGGGACGTGGCTTTAAAAAGGCACTTACTGTACAATTCAATTCCAAAGAGGTGCCAACTGGAAGGGGCTTAACATGAAACCCAAGCATCTTCTGCTGGCAGAAACACCCTTCTGCTGGCAGATTTCAGAGAACTGAAGAGGCAGAGAAGGGGCCGAGAAGAGCTAGGACAACAGACAAACCACGTCACTTCACAGCCAGTTCTCTCCTCTAGCCCCACAATGGTGAGACCCAGGGAGGCCAGGGCAAGGACAAGTCTGAATAGGTCTCAGGATGGGAGGATTTGAATTCTGGACAGCCTCAGCTGGCCTAAGGTCAGCTCAGCTGCTCCTCGGCCACCTTGGTCAAAACAAGGCTTGTGCTGTTAAACAAATTCAAGACGCGTAACAGCCTCTCTGTGGCTGTGACCAAGCTGTAGTCTAACACTCCGACATACTGGGCCGGACACCCGCCCGTATTTGTCAGTTTGAGCTGCAGCTGTCAAAGAGGGCCACTAGCAGGCTCCCCATTCAGGCAACTCTGCAAGATACAGAATGCTGGAGGAGATGAACCTCTGGTCCCTTCCAGACGGTCTTTTATGTTCTCTTAACAAGCCTCCCATCGGGGGAAAAAAACAACAACGCACGGATAGGGTTTATTTTTAGCGGCGTGGCAATTAAAAAAATCCCAGTCTGCACACCAAAGTGGTGCTTAAGGAAGAGTCAAGTTACCTGGAAACAGGGGAGAGGCAGACAAGCGCCATTCCAGCACTTGCGTAAGCTCCATTCCTGAACAAATCCTTCTCTTTTTTTTCCCCCTGCGTGGTCGGAATGAGAAAAGCCTGCCTATATATAGCCGCAGCTCAAGCACGCCCTCCACCGGCATGGAAGCTGATCCTGTCTGCAACACCTCCAAGCAGAGGTCAGGGCGTACGAGAACAATGACATTTCAAGAGAGGATATTGAGGAAGGTCTCCCATACACAGACGCCGCCTCCGCTGCTGGCCAAGTGGCTTTTCTCTCAGATGACCGGCTGGCCTCTTTCCTGAAGGCCAGGGGTCAGTGTTTGAAGATCAACAGCAGACAGGAAACTCTTAAAGAGTTAAAATATATGCCTCGTCATTTACAAGAGGGGAGGAACAGGATCATCCCACGCATCCTTTCTGGCTCTTTGAGACCAGCAGAGGCAGCTCTTTCCTGGGTGTCTAAGGCACAGTGGGCAGCCAGAAGGTTAAGAGCGTTTCTCCGCAGCATTGCTTGAACTGTGGAACTCTCTATCCAGGAAAACATGCTCATCGCCCTTTCTGCTGACTTTTAGAAAAGCAGCTCAAAGACAAATGCAAAAAGTGTCTGCGTGATCCATGTTCAAGAATGGGTAACACCTGTATTGGATCACTGAAAAGTTACAAACAAGGTGAACGTTCTAATTCTCCCTAAGTCTTCATTAGACAAGGTTATTTTAAAAAAAAACTGAGCCAGATGTGATGCTCTGGGTTGCTCTTGAATCCAGAGCCCCTGGCGGGGCAAGACCGCAAGAAGCACCTCGTCTTGGCAACAGTCTCGTTCCAAAAGCAATGGGCATCACGTCTGGCCAATTTTTTGAATAATTTGCTTTAAACCTTAAAATAATTTCAGGGCTCTCCGAACTGGTTAGCAGCTAGCTTTGACTCATCCACCTCAGGGAGAGAGTGGAAATTCTCCAAGGAGATCAAGCCTGCTGCGTCTCCATATTGTGTCTCTCCATGTTCATTCAGAAACAGCACATTTCTGGAGTTGTATTCTGCAGTGGCAGCTGGGCCACTATTTGTCAAGTGCCTGGTAATCTTGAGTGTGCTGCAAAGCAACGTCCTCTTAATAGTAATAAATGCTCTTCATTTATTCCTGCCCCGACCCTTCCCCCTTCCCTAGAAGAAAAGCAAACTAATGAACACCCTAAACTTACAGCCAGCGTGTGATCATTTGCAATGCTGATCAGTTGTTGAGCCAGCCCGTTCAGGAGCCTTGTTCGGAGGGAGAGATCTTCAAAGCCATGTCGGAAAGGAAAGGCTATACCATCAATCACAACCAAGCGTATCTAATGACAGGAGACAAAATGGACAGTTGTAATTCTCCTAAAATCAATGTCGGAAAAGCCTAAGGGGACAGGTGTGAGTGTAAGCAAATGCCTGTGTTATTTTTTATTCAGAGTAAGGAATAATGGCACCATCCCTTTCCAAAGGTAACCTCATCTCATCTGGTTCTGGAAGTTTGGCAAGTTTAGATCCAGGTTAGCATCTCCATATGAGACCACAGATGACACCAGAGGTTTCTAGGCAGGGCTAGAAAAGATTTCTGCCTGTCACCCTGGAAAGTTCTGCTTTAATATTTGGAGCCCCACTTCTAGGAACTGAGGTGTGTGTTGTCTTTCCGACCTCTGCCCTTGAAGGGGACAGGGGTGTAAATCCATGTTACGGCATATGCTTAAAAATTTTAAATACATATCCCATTTTATCTCCATTTCGGAAAGATGACAGAGAGCAGAATCTCCGATCTTTATCTGCCCCCAGACTCTGCAAAGCCCTTGCCAATTAGAGAAAAGAACCCTGAACTAGACAGGAAAAAAGAACAACCCAGTATTGATTGATCGATCTAATTTGATGTAATTTAATTTGCAAGAGGTAGTAGGATGCATTGCCGAGTGCTGGATTGGGACTTGCTATGTGTCCAGTATATGTCCAAGTTGCTAGGTATTAAGACTGCTGGCCCCACAGGCACACGGATTAAAATGCACATTAGGAGCACGACCGCTGTGATAGGCAGGCTGCCTCCCGCTCCCGCCCCACCACTGGGTATTTGCTTCCCCTAACTGTTTCATTCATAATTCAGAAAGGAGTCACCACGGGATGCTCAAGGCTCTTTCCCATCACTTTGCTTTAATTATGATTTATCTGATTTCCTCTGCCGTAGATTTTCCAACTGAGAAAACTATTTGCCCATCCAGGTTTCTCCCCACATATACTCTTCAAGATGGAAAAAATCTTTGCCCTTAATCCAACTAACAAACTCTGCTCTGAGCACAGCAGGGAGCAGGCAGAGAAGGGCTGGAATTTCTAAACCCAAAATGCAGATGTGTTTTTAGGTCGATCTTAGTTTAACAGGCTTTCCCTGTTCTCCACATACTCATGCACAGATAAAACCCAAAATCAAACCCGTTGTATCAAAAGACCCGGAAATGTTTCAAAGTTATCTTTAAATTAATCTGATAAAGTTATCTGACAAAGTTTGAAAAGTTGCTTTTAAGAAAAAAAATCATTTGTGTTTCTCTTCAGGCTTTTCAAAGTTGCTTCTCCTTTTTTTATATCACCTGCCCAAACTCCTTTCTGTCACACACTGCATGGAGAATGATCAACTCTAATAGGTAAAGCCAGTTTCTGGGGAAGCTTATGGACCCACATGGACCACTTCTAAGCGTGAAAACCCCATTAAGCTTCCAAAATCGCAATAGGATCCCCTGGGACATATTTTCCAAGCCACTGTGGTTTCTTTTTAATATGTGATAGAAACATACAAGGCACACACATGATTGTGTGAAAATTTCCTGCAAAAAAGAAAAAGGGAGGAGCGTGTAAAGGAAATCAAGAGTGTGAAAATATTATCCGGACATTTGGTTATTTATCATGGATGAGGCGTTGGGCACCTTCCAGCACCATGTCTCCCAGGATGGAAGAAGGGCTTCACGGTTACCCAGAGAAGCAAAAGCGGGAGGTTCGACACATTTCAGCCCCTGAGCTATTTTCCACTGATGTGCAGAATCAATAACATAAAACAGGGACATCCTTTTTTAGCTGCTGCTTTGGCCTTGGAAAGACTGCATGTTCCAAGCTTCTCTCCTCTACGGAGACAACGTGTGCAGCAAATCCTGCCATGCAAAGGACATCCACTGAAGACAGCTACGGTTTCCACAGCTTTATCCAGAAGGCAGGAAAACAGAACCGCCTGTGGTTCTGGTGGAAAATAAATTTCCATCCAAGGAAACTGTGCACAGCCTTCCTGGAGGACCAGTTCGGGTGCTGCACACCAGACTTTCACAACAACACCACCATCACCAACAACAACAAGAAGCTCCTGATGCGACAGAAAGAACCAGTCAGTTTATAAACAACAGATGTCAGATTGTCCAAAAATATCTAGTCTAGGCAAGAAAAAATAAAACACTTTGTTCTTTTAATGTAAATAATAATTGCTGATTCACGAGATAGCTAAAAAAATGTGATGCCTTATAATGCCCAGAGATACTCTTTTTCTCAAAAACAGACCCAGACAGATGCAAAAGAATCCTCAACCTTCAAGAATACAATCCTCAGATAGGTTTGCAGCAATCTAAATGCTAGCCATGGTTAGCAAATACACTTCTAGCCATGGTTGCTCTCCCCCCGCAATAACCAACAAGGGTAGAGTTAAGGCCTTCCTCCCTCAACTCTCACCGCGGACAGCCTTTCCAGCTGGTTGCAGAAGTAGCAGATGAGGTGATAAGCAATGGAATACCACCAGTCATATTGAAGAACCTCTGTTTTCCTCTGCCATTCCCATCTCATCTTCCTTTTGTGAGTGCCATGCCCCCCAAATCCCTCATTTTTGAAAAAACGGGACTGCACATAAACAAATGTGACACCCTTTTTGGCTGTAACACACAATGTAACACCCAAGTTTGGTCCAGCAAAGCCGACAAAGCAAACCAGACCAAGAAAAGCCACACCATTCTCATGACAAAAAGCAACCCGCCCTCTTGGCCTTCTGTTTCTCCCACATACAGCTTCTTCCTTGATTGCTACCTTTGGGTGTCCAGAGAGGAAGTCCGGGAGAAGATAAACTTGTGCCAGCAGCTCTACATAGTCATGGCAACGGAAGTAATAGATATGTGAAAGAATGTTTTCCAGGGAGAAAGTCTTCAGAGCAGGTTGGTGGTCTGAAAGAGAAAACCACCTCTGTGAACAGCTTGTTTATAACCATCCTACCCTTTTGCCAAACCGGCTCTTAGGCCCAGAGAAGCCAAACACAGGGCAAGGGCTAAGAAAAAGCCTAATTCCCGACCATAAGTCAAACAAAGTACTTCCCAGCCTAGTGAAATGAGATTTAAATCCATCCTCTTCCAAAATTGTATTTTTTTAAAAAAAGATGAAAATCTTGCCATTTAACCAGCTGCAAAGGGTTTTTGCAACAACTCAAACCTCAAGCAAAAAAAATGCAATTATGAGTTAGGAGGGCAAACCTTAATTTTTAAATAGACACGTCTCTTTAAAAATCAGTTGCTCTCCATGACTGACTCCTCTTCAGTCATGGAGAGCAACTGATGGTCATAGGAGATTAATACTAAGCTAGTTTCACTAACCCTATATCTTACAGATGGTCATTATAAGAACCTCATAATATCACAAGTTGGAAGAAAGGGGTTCAGAGAGCAAAGGAAATCAACTCTACGTTTCTTTGCTCTATCCCTTCCTTCTTTTGCCATACTCTCATTCTAGGTTAGACTGTAAGTTTTAGGTATTTTTTCATTTTATTGATCTGTATGCCGTTCTGGGAGCCATTCAAACTGAAAATGGTTCAATTAAATAAATATACCAATAGGCTGGCCTAGTTAAGAAAGCTTCCTGTGTTTTTTGAAATGGAGAATGGGGCCTGGTAACTAACCTTCTTCTGGGTGCATTTCTGCAATAAGTTGGCAATGTCGAATGCAGGCGGTTGCCATATCGACTACTCGGTCGACCATAAAGCTGCCTTCAGTATCTATGAAAACAGCTTCCCCAGCCAGCCCTCCAAAGTTCTCTGGGATCTGGACATCCACCACCAGCTGCATGCTGACAGACAAGACAGAGAGAGAGATGGTCACCGTGAGCAAAGAGGCACCAATACGAGAGGTTAACAGAAACCAGCTCATCACCTTGAGTCCTCGTCCTGGGAGAAAGCTGGCCTATAAATAATAATAAAAATCAGAGGACTTGGACAAGTTTATTACAATTTATATTGTAGTAAACTAAAGGCAACCTACAAGAGAGTCACAATCCGAATAAAACGGCAGGATAGCTGTGTATTACAGAAGAATCGCCATTTTAATTTCCAAAGGAGGTCAGGAAATCCCCTTTCTTTTGGATCTCAGGGGATAAAACAGCAAATATGAGTTTCGACAGGTGTGATTTTTTGGGGGGAGGAGGGAGACCGCCTAAGCCAATAGTATCACCCTGCATTCAAACACCACAATGGCCAAACAGGTGAGAGTTTCCTAGAGGACATGAAGTAAGTCCAGAACTGAGGTCCAAAGGGTACTGGAGATTTTCTTGTTCTACCAGGCCAGGCTCTCTGTCTGCCTAACTCTGCACTGCCCACTCTGACTGGCAGCAGCTTTCTGACATGTCAGATAAGAGACAGATCATTCTCTAATTTGAGACGCTCAGAACGAACTCAGGAGTGTCCAAATGCCAAGTAGTTCCCGTTCTACCACACGACAGTCCTTTCCCTTCAAGACTGGTTTGTACCAACAAGCAAAGAAATAACTGTGTCCTTTAGGGTGACAGCAAATACAGGAAAGAGCCCAAAGTTAGGCATAGGTCTGTATCGTTACAATCATTGTGATTATTACCACAACTGTGTTTTGCCGATCCCAGGTGCTCCACAGATCTCTGTTATTTTCGTCAGCTGTAAACCTCCACCCAAGATCTCATCCAGCGCAGAGCAAAATGTTATGACGAAGCCTTGAACTTGTTCTTTTTCCAGAAGTTCGAGCGCAGTATACTTCCTGACGGAGGCCAGTTCATCCGAAGATTTGGTTCCATCACTTTGCTGCTCCCCTTTGATTAACTGTAAAATTTCTAATGCCTCCTCTTTAGAAATTCCTGTTTCTGAAAATCCAAAATACAGAATAGATTTTAATTTCATTGTTCCTTGTTAAAAGAAGCACGCTACCGGCAAACCTTTGTATAGCATCTTTCTTTTTTGTTTTGTTTTTTTGCAACTACGCTTGGGCTGCCTGAAATGAATTTCCTTCTTTTCCTAATTAAAATTATCTCAAGAGAAGGCTTTAATGTCTGTTTTGGGTTTTTTTAAATATCCCTTTTGTTGCAGATGGAGACTGGTCACACATTTTAACAAAGCTTTGTTTCTAATTAAGATCCATAGTATTTAACCGTGCTATATTTAATTGTAATTGAATTTCTAAATCCCTTTGCACTCAAAATTGTAGAAAGAGAGGGAGGGAATCTCAATATGAAACTCTCTGTTTGTACTGTACTGTACTTTTAAATATAGATCATATCATATGCCATTTCTCCTCTATTTTAATCTTTATCTAAAATATGATTTATTTACATTTCCCCCTATAAATATAATGCATCAAAGTGACTAACTAGAATTGAAATCTTTTGAAGTACAATGCCACAGTGACACCCAGTGGTTACAACTACCAGATAATAAAATACTGTACCAGTATAATTCTGTCCATATCTATTAAGAATCAAGTACCACAGAATTTTCACTTATCCTGTTAGCTGTTTTCAGAATTTTACTGTATTTCGTCATTGCTCTGAATTGTTTTTAGTTGCCCTAAGTCCTATGTAAATCCCCAGGAAAGGTGGGAAATGACATTTTTTTTCTGTAAGTGAAATTCAAATGTGTAGTAAGGAAAATAAGAATACACACTTAGTGGCAATAACAATAATCTTGGAATCTATAGGGAATAGTCCCTGTGGATCAAGTCCTCCTCATCAAAGAAGCACAGTAGACTCGAACTCCCAACCTTTGGTTCCACAGGCAGAAACCTAAACCACTGAGCTAATAATAACCAGCCAAATATTATTTCTTGCATTTTCAAATAATAATTATAAACCAGCCAAAGAATGTCTTGCATTTCTAAATAACAATACTACTAATAATAAATCTGTCAAGGACTGTCTTGCATTTTCTAACAACATCAACAATAAATAATAAACAAACGTTCACAGAGGGCATCTTCCCTTTTCTAATAACAATAAATGACTCAACGTCTGTATTTAATCAACATCATCTTAGAATTTAGAATATATAGGGAAGGGACCCTATAGATCATCCAGTCCAGCCCCTGTCAAGGAAACACAGTAGGGAATTGAATTCCCAACCTAAAACATTCAGCTAATAATAATACAGTACTGTAACCAGCCAGTTTGTTTTTTGCATTTTCAAATAATGATAATAATAACACTAATAAACCAAAGACCGTGCCTTGCATTTTCAAATAACAATAAACCAGCCAAATACTGTCTTGCTTTTTCAAATGATACTAAGAAACCAATGATGTTGTCTTGCCTTTTCAAACAATAGCAACAGCCAAAGACTGTGTTTTCCCTATTTTAAATAATCAACCAGTCCAAAACTGCCTTACTTTTTCAAATAATAAAACAACTGTCTCTTGCCTTTTCAAACAATAGCAACAGCCAGACTGCGTTTTCCCTATTTTAAATAATAAACCAGTCCAAAACTGCCTTTTTCAAATAATAAAACGACTGCCGTGCATTTTCAATAATAATAAAGCCAGTCAAAGACTGCCTCTTGCGTTTTCAAATAATAATAATAATAATAATAATAATAATAATAATAATAATAATAATAATAAAGCCAGTCAGACTGTCTCTTGCGTTTTCAAACAATAACAACAACAACAATAATAAAGCCAGTCAAAGACTGCCTTGCATTTTCGAATACTGTACGAGTAAACCAATGACGGTGTCTTGCATTTCCAAATCATCATCATCCCAGCGCAAGACTACATCTTCCGCTTTCAAACCATCATCATCAACCCTTCCCCCCCCATCCTTGTTTGGGTTTTTGGCGGGAAAACCCTTTCCTCTCGCCGCCGCCCCTCTCACCGCCTTCCCGCCGGGGAGGGGGCGCCTCGGGCGGCTACCTTGGCTGAGGCGGCAAGGCCCCACTTCGGCCACCTCGGGGGCCGTCTCGAAACCGGCGGCCGTCAGCTTGGCCCGTAGCCCCGGGGCCAGAGGGAGGCTGCCCAGCGCCCTCGCCTCCATGAGGGAAGGGGAGGGAGGAGGAAGGCGGCCCTCCTCCTCCTCTTTTTCCCGCCCCGGTGCGGCTCCCCCTTTCGGCGGCTCTGCAGGCCTTTCCTCCCACGCTTTTACCTCAGAGGCCGCCCCACAGAAAGGCAGGTGGGGAGGCTTCCTCCTGAGGAGACCACTCCACACACCCCCCCAAACTAATAAAGCTTACAGATTTCTTTTCCCCCTCCCCTCAAAAAAAGAAAATGCCCCTTTGATTTGGGAAGAAGAGACCCACGGACAGCCACACTTTCTCTGAGGAGAATTACCTCAGAAAAGGTCACGGTCCTGGAAAACAAGGCGGCGGCCCCGGGGGGGGGGGAGAAATCCCCTGTGTGTGGAAAGACATTAAAAGGACTTGTGTGTGTGTTTGTGTGTATTTGGTCCCTCTTCTCCCCCTCATGCTTTATTGGCACCTCTTTTTTTTGCCTCAGGCGGCGACCCTCCTCGCCTCAGGAGAGGGGTGGAGAACTGAAGGGTGTGTTGGACTACAACGCCCATGCACCTTGCCTCTTGAAGGGGGGGTGATGGGAGTTGGAGTCCCCCTCACGGGCCCGTTTTGGCCCCTTTAAAAAAAAACATCGACGAGGCTGCGCTCCCCCCCTCCATATTATGGTACAAAAAGCGAATTTCCCCCACGTTGGCCCCTAAAGAAGGCCAGACCGCAATCTTTTCCTTTAGGGATTTCATTTGAAATATTCGTAAATACTGTATTTAAAATATGGTCCTAAGAGATCGTGGATAGATCCAGAGAGCAAAACCCCACTAAGACACGGAGGTGACACCCCTTTCTTTGCAGCCCCCCCCCAGGCAAACAGAGGCGTGCAAATCACCTGCACGTGTGTAAACATGTCAGGACTTTCACGCTCCATTCCCCCCCCCCCGCCCCTCCCGGGGAAAGGAACGGTTCTGGCCGTTAACGGATGAACTTCCTCGGCGGTGCGGAAAGAAAAGGGGGGCCTCCAGGTCGGTCCCAAGGCCTGGGGGCAAAGCGGGTGTGTGTGTGTGGGTCAGGGGTCTGGTTTGGGGGTGAAGGGGACTGTTGGGGGGCTCTGGGGTTCAAGGAAGGGATGGAGGGGAGGACTTCGAGGGAGAAAAAAAGGCAATGGGATTTAGGCGTGAGAGGAC